CCCATTTAATACCCGGGCCCCCTTCTGTTGTTTTTTTTTTTTGGATTTTTTTTTTTTTTTTTTTTTTTTTTTTGAGACTCAAAATTGAAAGACTTCACAGGTCCAGTGATATAAAATATGCATGACCTTCTAAGCCAGCGTTGTTTCCCTCTTGGTTTGGGTTTTTGTTTTTTTTTTTTTTCCATTTTAGGTTGACTGCATTCAGGAAGTTCCAAGAGAGGAGACCCCGCCCCTGGCCAGATTTCAGTCAATAGGAGTACAGGTGGAGGACGGGTGGCAGTAAGTCCTCTTCCTGTCCTTTTAACAACGTGAGGAATTTATATTATAGCCACACACACATTCTTCTGACTGTTCTACTCCCTCCAGGGCCTTTGTATATGTGAAACCATCCCGGGTGTTTTTGTGCGTGTGGTGTTTGTGATTGTTGAATCACATTCCTCCTATGAGCATTTACTATTTAAAGATCTCCTCCAAGCCATCTTGAACATTTAAATTGCTATAAAGTTGTTTTCGCTTTTGTTTTGTTTTTCATTTTTTAATGCAGTATTTAAATGTAATACATATATTCACTTAATCAGTTCTTTCTTTGAAATCTAGACTTTCAAAACTCCTATATATATATATATATATTTAGAAACAGTTCTTTTGGATGCAATCTGTCTTCTTACTTCTCTTTCTATTCAGTGTCGTGTTAGAAGTTGCTTCTACATAGAAACACTAGATCAGAATGGCTTTCCAAGTAAATGCCATGATTTTTGTTTTAGCTGTGCGCAAAGAAACCCTCAACATGCAGAAGCTACACCTTTCAAATGAATCTTGCTGTGCCTGGATTAAAAAGAACTGCACTGACCGAGTTTACCAAGGAGGGAGGCTTTAAATACGTCTCTGCTTGTTGTTGAGACCCATGTCCTGTTTGCTGTTCTTTTGTTCTTGAGTGCTTTTGGCATATTGTCTGAACTGCATCTGCGTTTCCTGGAAATGGAGACAATTAGACAGAATTCATATCAATCACATCAAGTCCATTTATTCATTTGCTCGGTTCAGGCGAGAAGCTCGCAGGATGCCTCGCTCTCAAGTGTCTTGTATCTGCATTGACCGAGAGAACTGACTCTGCTTTTCAACTCAACAGGTCCTATTTGTTCCCGGAAAGGGAAATAATTGAATGAGTTCTCAAAAGTAATTTCCACAGTTAGTCATGTTAATAAAGGTTCAATTTATTTTATTAACATTTTATGTATTTGCAAAGTGTCAGGAAAATGGGAAACATTTACAAATAGAAATATGAAAAGTATTTTGTGCATTTGTACTCGGTCTTCCCGAGTGAGCACTTTGCAGAACCACCTTTTGGGATATGAATCTCTACCAACTTTGCATTTTTAGAGACCATTTCTGACCATTCCTTTTCTCAAAGTAACCTACGCTCAATTAAATGTACAGCTCCTCTATTGACCGAGTCAAAGTCCAAACTTTAATTTTGCTGTAACACCTGAATCTGTTTTGATCAAAATCAATCCATTGTAGTTCCAGTTTTAAATTCAGGGTTATTGTTCAACTGAAACGTAACCCTCCATTCATTCAGCAGTCTTTACCAGTTTTTCCCCACAGCATGATACAGCCATGCTATGCGTCAGAGTGAAGGAGGCTTTGTACATGTGCATGCTACCCTTTTCAGATTTTCAGATTTTAAAAATACTGTATTGATTTTCTTCTTCTTGACAGTTATGGACCTCTTTGTGTTGGTCTGTCTCATAAACTACTAATCACATACAGTGAAGTTTTTGGTGGTAATCTGAGGAGTTTTGAAGCAGATTGTTTGGCGAGAAACAGTAAAATATATTTTGCTCTCTGCTCTGTTGGAATTGAATTGTAACGTTGTCTCTTTGCTTTATTCCAGACTGAGTCGCTCCAGCAGTATGGCCGCAAAACAAGAAACGGACTCAGACACACAGGACATCTCTGCCATTTCTCACATCAGCGTTGCCAAAACCTTTGAGAAGAAAGTCATGGTCAACAGTGCCAGTCAGTCAATGAGCTCCCCCCCTGGACAAGACTCTTTAGACAACGGAGACCAGACTGGCGACACCTCCTCCCCACCGCCTCCCAGGCAGATCCTCAACCGCTCCACCACGCGGAGCAGCTCCTCGTCTTTCTCCGAAAGCCTGGATCCAGCGCTTGATCCCTCGTCTCTGCCGCCCCCGGATCCCTGGCTGGACAGCGGAAACGGTAGCAGCGGCGGCGTCTCCCAGAGCGGAGGAGGCGGAACGCTGTGCAGAAGAGACGGCCATTGGTTCCTGAAGCTGCTGCAGGCCGAAACGGCACGCATGGAAGGCTGGTGCCAACAGATGGAGCAGGAGACCAAAGACAACCAGCTCTCAGAGGAGGGTAAGGTCCACACGGTCTTTGCTGGACTGTATGTAGCCGTGAGGAAATACAGCGTCAAAAGCCATCGCTCACCTGCTGTCACATACACATGCGCATGTATAAAGTTGTTTTACATCCCATTCATGATCTAAAGTTTTTAATATGTCGTCAACCCATACTTTGCATCAATAAGAGCTTAAGTTCACTCCACAGACCTCTCTGCAAACCGTTCTTGAGCTAATTTGAAGGCCACGTGAATCTTTGAGGTGTGTAGCCATTGGTTCTTCAGAGAGTCTGCGAACTATTCGCCTCAGCATCCAGTGACCCCGCTCTGGGATTTTTTTTTTTTTAAGAGTCTTGTCTCTTTATGGCTGATTTGCTGTTGTTTCCCAGATAGAAGGCAGCTGGATGACTTCAAGAAGACCTTACGCTCTCTCATTTAGAAAGGCTGTTCCAGGCCTTCTGGATGAGACACACTGACCTTAGATTTTTGTGCATAACTCATTTCTCACTCCCTCTAATCAATCTGTTGCACAAACACAGCATGGAAAGGATGATGCTGTAATACCTGGGGTTAACGCACACAAGCAGGCCTGTAATCTCCAGAATTACACAAATCTAGTCTGGAACTGATTAAACCCTCAGATTAGATTAGTGCCTTAGCATCGGCCTGGGAGACACAGCAGCAGTGGGCAGACAGGCAAAGCACACCATAAATGCAAACCGTGCAAGGCGGTTATCATGAAGGGCTTGTTCAGATAAGTGCCTGCTTGTCCTCAGCAAGGGAGTTTGCATTTTCAAAACTCAGTGTTTTGAATGGTGTGTGCATGTGGCCTGACTTGGTTAAGTAGTTTGCATCAAATCTGATGTAGAGCTGCAGTGCAGAAGTGGGATCTCGCCCGCCACACAGCAGTCCCACGCCTACATCTTTAAAATCCACCAATCGGGGAGGATTCTGAGTTTTGTCAAGGCAGATGTTTGTCCTAATTTGACTCTGCAAACAGACTAATGTTGTAACAAGTCACAAGTTGCATCCAAGTCAACTGGGAAGATGTAGTGTCCAAAAAGAGGATTTTCACTTTTTATCGCATTCATGCCATCCAGCTGCTGACCCATTTTCCAGGTGGGGGTGTTGCAAAAAGTAACATAATTCCTAATTATGCATTCGAAAACGCTTTCAAACCGTGCTGTGTTTAGTTCTGCTTTCTTCTCACTACAGTGCTCGGGAAAGTCCGCAGTGCAGTGGGAAGTGCTCAGCTCCTAATGTCTCAGAAGTTCCAGCAGTTCCGGGGACTGTGTGAACAAAACCTGGTGTGTATGTTGTCACACTTTGCTCACAAGCTCAAACTCAAAATGCACAGTTGGCGTCCCTTTGTCAGCTGCAATGCATAAAAAAGCTTTCATCTACTTGAAAGCTGACTAATATGAAAGCAGCCATGATACGCAGCACATTAAGCATGCACAGACTCCATCATGAGGACCCCGCAGCACAAAACACAAGGAGCTTATATTAAACCAATAAGCCCTTCCACCCAGATGACGTCTTTTTGTGAAAATGCCATTATACAAATTGTAGCCAACAACCAGCACATGATATGTACCATAGTGAGTGATAAGCGGCACTCTAATGTGATTTGCCCTGAGATGAGAGCAGGAAGCGCTGAAGCATTAGAATGGTGAGCAATGTGGAGCCAACGCAGACAGAGGTCAGCGTGTTTAAAGCACCGCAGACTTTGAACGGGAGCGTGCAGGATTTCAGCTTTGGACTTCCAGTGCCTTAAAAATGTATTCATACCTCTTTAGATATTGTGCCATATGTACATTTTTATGTAAAATATCAACAGGATCATTCTAAGGAGGAAGTTTTTCTCTTTTTTTTCTTCGTGTGTGAGTATTTGTGAGTATTTGGAAAATGCAGTACACATCTGTATGTCTCTACATGTTAGTTCATCACATACAATGAAAAAATACAATAATGCTGGTGGTTGAACTGTTACAAGTGGTACTTAGCAATTGCACTGTACCTTTTCTGACATCTCTTCACGTCTGGAAGCTTTTCAGAAATATGATTACTTCAGTTAAACCATTTTGCACAGAAGATATGGGCGCTTTATATTTTGTAATTTGATAGTAAATCACTTGGTTCTCAATGTAGTTTGGTAATTCTATGTAACCAAAGTAGCAGCATAAGTGTTTCACTAATCGAGGCTGTTGCGTTGCACCATCTAGTGGCGAACATAAAAACTGCATCAATATTACATTGTTCTCCGACCTTGAAAAGTGTCTTCATTAAGATGCCATACATGGTTGTGTGGCTCTTTTTTTATTCATTAAAAAAATACTATATAATTTAAACAGTTCTCTTTTAGATGAACCTTTCACATATACATAACAGTGTAAATACACTAAAGATATGAATGTAACTGTGACAATAGTTTTATTGCTATTTTTGTTAAAACTTCAGTTGGGTTAAAGCATTTTCTCAACAACTGTGGTTTGACAAATACTTTAGATAGTAAATTATAAATAAATTTGAATTTATAGTATTTTTACATGCAGTTATACATATGGACTTATTTCACTCGTTTAAATATCCAAATGTCTATCTCTTTGAGGTGATGTCTGCATTGAATTCTGTTATTTATTTTTATATTTTAATTATTAAATGAATAGGAAAAACTTTCAAGTCAACCAAAAACATTGTTTTTTTACTGAAGGATAACTATATCCATTACATTTTTTTTTCCACCAAAAGCTAACGAGAGCCCCATCAGGACCGCTCAAGTGAAGTCCTACACTTCACATTAAACAATGTGTGCATAAAACATTTCAAAATTAGTTTTCTCTATTAGATTGTGACTTTCAATAACTGCATCTTAGGAAATTTGAACTACACACCTCAGAAGCAAAAAAAGAAAAAAAAAAAAGAAATACAGCCCATCTCTGTCCAGTCAAATCAGGTTTATCAGGAAATTTATAAAAAGTCATGACTTTTAACTCATTGCTGCGTCCACTTCAGATATTTTTTAGCAATTTGTGCAGTAGATGCAGTTCTATTATCTAAAACCTACTTTTTTTTTTCTAAATGCAGCCTTATTTAATACAAGGAGTTACTGTTTAATTTGTATCTACTCCTATTTAAAATACATTCCCATCATTCATTCTTAATTTATAAGGCACTTTTAATTCACAGAGAAGTCAACAGAAAGTGATTTACATCAGATTAAAACATGAGGTAATGAAAAACAAAGAGTGAAATAAATGAAGAGCGTAATAGGTCTTGCAAACATACACCAATGTTTAGCTGCTGTCCTCCTCGCCGTTCGTTCCGTTTCACCTTGTTCATTTTTCTCTGGTCAGAATGTGACTGCCAACCCACGGCCAACAGCCCAGGACCTGGCTGGCTTCTGGGACCTGCTGCAGCTATCTATCGAGGACATTAGCCTCAAGTTTGATGAGCTCTACCATCTCAAGTCCAATGACTGGCAGCCCGTGCCGTCTGGGGCCGCCCAGTCGTCCCCTGAGCGGAAGGTACTTCCCACCCATGCTGCCCAGTGCCCTGGCTGGGGTAGGAAAGCCGCCGAAACCGGCCTCTCTCCTCCCACCACCACCACCATTTCTCTCCCACTCTTTTTAAACCCTGTCCCTGCGTGGGATGAACTCTTAACAAGGCCTCCCTGTCCAACGCAGAGGGGCCCCGAGAGATCCCCTCTAGGCATGCATGGGAAAAGAGCCATCTCAAAGAGGGCTGGGGCTGCTGTGTTTTCAAAGTGTAAAGCCCTGCTTTGAGCATGCATGCGTCATTTATCTATGTGTGTGTCCACGTGTTGGTGTCTGTGTTGCGGCGGAGCATGGCTATGATGCACCGGTTAATGTGACAGAATGCTTTTGCTCTTGCTCATTAACCTGGCCACATTTGTCTCTGTCTAAAGCCTTTTCTTTTTGTGTTGTCTGTGACGTCCAAGTCTCCAGGATTATGAATGTAGCTGTATGTGAAGTTCTTTTTGTGGCTCCAGGTTAATTTGCCCCTTCTATAATCAGTGTCTCATTTTTATGCCCGCACATTAACATTTTGTCCCAGTCCATTTTGCGCCTGTCAACAAATCATTTCCTACCTACGTTCTTAACTAATGCAAGTCAGTTTTTCTCTTTGAGATCAAGAGTTTTGGATTAATTGAAGGACGTAAATAGTTTCATATGACAAATCTTATGTATGGTTTTCATTTAATAGTGCAGTAATTTAATTTAATAGTAATCTTTGTTTCCAAATGTTTTACACTACACACCTTCTAGTGTTATTACAATTTCTGTTTGAATAAGTATAAAATAAGAGATTATGACCCAGATTAAACAAAAATAAACATTCTGCTTGTTGAATCTGTTGTTCTGTAGTGACATTGTCACAATAACTTTAAGTAGATGTGGAGATGATAGAAAACTAGGGTGGTGCTTGCCACTTCACTCATCCCCATTGATACCATAATAAGTATTTGTCAGCTGGTTTAGGCCTAACATACATTAGGTTTGATGCGTACAGCTGATGTGAAATTGGTTGCTTACCTCTGTAGTTAATAAACATAAACGGTAGACTTAATCTTTCAAAATGAAAGTGCAAGCTTTACAAAGTATAACAGCACAATCTTTTTTGAAAGGTTGAAATTTGTGGCTGTCAGGGTAAGTTAAATATTGTTTAAAATGAAATTTCAGAGCAACTTTTACTTATGGCTACTTACTTGAACAGAGATGATTCCTCTAAGAGGGTTTCTGTTTCACAAGGCAAACAGTGAGTCTGAAAAAGCGTAAAATTATTATAAAACCCTTCTTCTACTTTTAAAAACCCATCAGATTTTCCTACAAGTAGTGTAAATGTGCAAACACCATTAGGCCTCAAATTTACATGATTTCTTGTTAAATCACTAATCTCTCAGTATTAAATCCTATTAGTTTTTTGGTGCATCTCTGGCTAATCAGTTCACCGTAGTAACTCCAAATACTCAGTGGTAACATCAATTTTGCAATCATCATTGTAGTCAAGAAGGGCTCCATTCAGTTGCATATCAAGCCAGTTCAACAGGTTGTTACTGCCTCTAGGTTTTTGTGGTGAAAATGCTAAAATGGGAAATCTACCAAAAGCACTAAAACGTTTTTTTTTTTTTTTTATATTGTTTTGTAGCACAAAGTTTTTTTTTTTGCAATCAAAAAGGTACTTTATGAAAAGACCAAACATCCCAAAGTACAAACGGTGGAGGGGCAAAGTGACGAGGTCCGCTTTTTGTTGCATATCAGTGTAAATGTCTTGGCTGTCCTGTCATCCTTTTATGGTTTCAGATAAACCCAGTACACATCCATTCATGTTGCCATTTTAAGTGGTTGAAAATTTGTCTTTCTCAATGTCGACTTGTCTGTAACCAGCTGTCTCTACTGTCCTTGTTTTGTGTTTGATCGTCTAGTCCGCTACATGTTGTCTCGAGCAGTACAAGGGAACGACAGAACAGCTTTGGCAAATGATCTCTGTGAATCATGTCTGCCAAATCTGTCTGAACAAGAACAGGAAACGGATTACTAGTATATGTTGTTGTCTTAACACTTTTTCCTTCTGTCGTGTTATCTCCTCCCTCAATCTTGCAGAACGAGGACAAGGAGGCCCTTCCGGCATCAAAGAAGCCTAGCAAGACGCGACCGACGCTTGCCCGCGAGAAGAGTGCTGACTCTTCTTCAACCTCTTCATCGGCCTCGGCAGAAAAACAGAGACAAGAGGCTCGCAAGCGCCTGCTAGCTGCCAAGAAGGCTGCCTCGTTTCGCCAGAACTCTGCCACAGAGAGCGCAGACAGCATTGAAATTTACGTCCCCGAGGCCCAAACTCGCCTCTGAGAGAAAAGGGACTAGCAAGGATCCGAGGACAGATAAGTTTGTTAAAGAGAAGAAAAATGGGGGGGAAAACAGGGAGGATTTTGTTTGAGTGCAGATGAGTTATGGTGAGTAAGGAAGGGTGTGTAGAGGAGCAATGCCAATGAATGGGTGTTTTGATATTTTTAACATAATCATAGGCTGGTCCTGCTTGAAACTGATAATGAAACATTTGTGGACCCAACAGACTACAAACTTATGAAGCAGAAGATTCCTCTTCAGAGGCTGCCAGGGAAGACCTCAGCTGATGAACTTTATCATTTCTTCTTACTTTTTCTTGATCTCATAAAAATGTTAATGAAGGTATTATTATAACAATTATAGGTTAAAAACTCTTCATAAAGACTGTTTTAAAAGTTCCTATATCTTGGCTATAAGATTTATAAAGCAGACAGAACATAAGCATCAATGCTTCTGTCTCCCACTCTCTTGCTCTCTTCCCAGATCACTGGCCATCTTGTAGCTTTGCACAGCACCTCCTTGTGGCCATCATGCAAGTTGCACACAAATCCACCAATACACACACACACACACACACACACACACACACACATATATATATGTATGTATATGTGTGTGTGTGTGTGTGTATGTATGTCTTCCTTGTATTTATTTTTTCTTCAATTATTGATCTGGGCTGGGCAAGAATCCATTTAGATCAAGCTTTTCTGACTATTTTTGGTATGATGAAACAAAGTCCGATGTGAAAGATTATTTATGTAGTTCCTACAAACAAACAAAATCTTGTTTGAGTTTTTTTGTGTCAAAGACTTTAGCGTTTAGTTTCTTAATGGGGTTTTTTAATGAAAGCACATATTAAACAAAGTCAGGCTGGAGGTTCCTTCAAAATGGCTGTCCACGATGTTTTTTTTAATTATTATCATTATTTGTAGATGAAAAATCCTAATATCCTTTTAGTTCTTTTTTTATTTTCCTTTCCTCTATTTCTTTTTTTCCATTTCTGTGCTATGACTCCAGAAATATGTAGGATATTTTCTGTTACATATATACATTTAAGTGCTTTAAGGAATATAATTGTGCATCAATGTCATACATTTCAAAATAATCTGGGGCTCTGAAGTTGTGCAGCTGGGTGAGCATGCTGGTTAACGGCAGGCGTTTCTTTTCCGCTTCCCACCTACTAATCAACCCCACTTCACTTTATCCAGCTTTTCTCCACTCTAAACAAAGATTACATTTTTTTTTATCTCTTAACTTTTCTAATTTAATCATTACATATATAAGTGATTGGCCTTTTAATCATATACTTAGTATACAAAAGCCAAAGATCAGTACACTGTTTGAAATTTAGCCCATGTAATAAAATGTGAGTAGCAGGGAAACTCAAAGCTTGACTGTGAAAACAGATGGGAGTGGGTTTTACTCACAGCAACACACGTACTGCAGAGTTAACATTTGGATATCCACAAGGCAGGAAGCTCGAACAGAACCGCCCAACGATGAGAACCACAACACGCTACCCTATCTGACAGAGTTAATTTCATGGAAAAGGATTGTTTCCAACCTCAGGAGGGCAACAGTGCTTGCATGTCAAACCAGTAGTCAGTTATCACATTCAGTGAAAGGACAAAGAATCCTAATCCCTATCTTGTTTTGCATTAAGAGACCCACTGTGCTTTGCAAAAGTATTCATACCGCTTGAGCCTTTTTACATTTTGTCATGTTATAACCACAAACTTATCGGGATTGTACATAATTAGGCACAAAATATTGCAGAACTGTAAAGTGGAAGAAAAATGATACATGGTGTTCAAAAAAAGCAAAGATCTTGAAACTATGGAGTCCATTTTTGTTTGTAGTATTTCTACTCAATTTTCTGTGAAACCACCGTTTTTGCTTATGTCCTTGCCAACTTTAAATGTGCAGATATCAAACTTGTGCCCATTCGTCTATGCATTTAGCTTCAGCCATGCTGCCGTTGGCGCAAACCAGCATCCCCACAACATAATGGTACCACCACCATGCTTCACAGTGGTTAATTGTCTGCCACACCTGTATTGTATGCAGGGCAAAAGTTCAGTTTTAGTCTCTTCCACCAAAAAACATTCATCCACATGTTTGTTGTGTCCCCTTCTTTCAGCAAACTTTAGAGACTTCTCATGGTTTTCCAACAGCAATAGCTTTCCACTCCCCACTCCTCCATAATAGACAGATTTGTGGAATGCACGACTAATAGTTGTCCTGTCTACAGATGCTTTCTGAGCTTTGGGTCTCTGATCTTCTCCAGATTTACCATAAATGTGTTTGGCTGCTTCTGCTTAATGTTCTCCTTATCTAACTAGTCATCTTTTGGAAGGATGGCAGTTTAGCTGTACTAGTTCACTTTTATAGAGTTAAACAGTGGTTCACTAGTTGTTTTATAGCCCAAGTCTGCTTTCAGCATCCAGACAGATATCTCTCAAACCTGGATTTATTTACTAACAGCATAACCGCCTCAGTTTGTGTATAACTTGACAAAATGGGGAGAGGGGGTAGTCACTGGTATGTGAATATTTTTGTGAAGCTCTACATCTAAAAACACTCACATTTTGTCTAAATTCACTTTGTAGCTTAAAGATATTTGAAACAAAACATCTCCATTTGTCAGTGTAATTCTCTAGTGGGCACTTTGAGGGGTTTTTTTTTTACACCCGATACCATCCATTCAGTCACTGATGACTCATCTATATCAGTGAAGATGAAGTTGAAGCCCACACCTTTGGTAGACAATGGGCTTGTCTAACAAGTGGTCATCAAAATCGGAACGACTTTTATGGACCCAAATAGTTGGGCTAAATGCTCTTCCTTTCATGTGTATGTTGTCAAAGCCTCTCTGCCATAAGCCATAACCCAAAGTTAAGCCTCTGGCTTTGAATTAGAAAAGCCCAACGATCACCATTCTTCTCACGTTGATGGTAAGAGCTTTCCCTTGATGGACGGCTATTATTTGTCTGTTGTGTTTGCTTGCTCTGGGTGACTCTCAGCAAGGAATATGACTCAGAGGTGTCAATAGCCAGTCCCATGACTGCTCTCAGTCCACCCCCATCCATTCGACTGGATGGGGGTGGACTGATACCATCCATTTGATTGAATGAGGGTAGACTGATAGACTGATGGAAAGCTTTCAGGTGCTTTCATTAGCACCTGAAAGCCTTTTATGTGACTCAAAGGTTGCCATTAGCCTGATTTAATTTTGGACTGCCACAAAAACATTTCCCAAAAGGTTTTGTCAAAACAAGCTTATCTAGCTGTTTTATTTGTATTCTAGAGATCTTACGCAGTCACTGCCATCTGAGCATATTCTGTTTTTATTTCGCTTTACAATTCTCACATATCCTTTTCTGTCCTTGCGCATCATGTTTTACTGCCATATCTTGTTGTCGCACCAACTTCTTACGAAACTGTCTGCCTCGAATGCTGGTGAAACACACTGTGGCATTTTAAATACACCCAGCGACAGACGGCAAGCAGAGCAAGCCAGTACATATGTTTTTTGTTTTTTTTCTGTCATTTGGATACGTGTGAAATGCCACGACACATACAGACATACTTGCAGAAACAAAGCAAAACCTTATCTCGTGCTCATAAACAATGCTTTTCTCCAATAAACACACAAACCTGGTTCAGAGACGGAGCTAGGCCTATTTCCTGGGTAGAGTTATCCATTGACCGCATAGTTGCACTATGGGGGGGCTGGGATGCTGCTGTAAAGCAAGTGATTTGCGGGTGATACTCATGCATATGAGGTTGATGCTTTCTACCATTCACTTCTTTTCCCTTTTTTTTTCTTCTTCTCCTTTGTAACTCTCGTAGTTGTTCCCTCACACCAAGTTTACACGCTGGTTGGTTGTTTTATGATTTTTGGGTAGAGGAGAAAATGGATTTCACACAAGAGTTTGGAGTAAAAGTTTTTAAAACAGTATTCCTAGTTTACACTGAGTTTCTCACCACAAATTTCTTGACCACATATTTTATTTCACAAACCCCCCCCCCCCCCCGTTTCTATTTCCTTTATTACATATGGATAAGCCAAGAGCAATCTCCTCGTTTCAAATTAGTATCAATCATTTCTCTTTCTCTCTTTCCTTCCAGACTTCTTCTGTTTTGCCTGGGTTTGAATTATCTCCAGAGGCTTCTTCATAAACTGAAATTGTTGTTGCTTTAAATGATTAAGTTCTTTATTTTATTTTTTTTTAATAATGGTGAGATCTGCAATCGTAACCTAAAGATGTTCGTGAAGATGACTGTCATTGACAATTATAAGTATTTGCCTATATGCATAAGAAGCACCCTATTGGTGTTTTTTTTTTGTTTCGTTTCGTTTTTCATAAATTTTTCAATTTTTAATTCCATTCTTTAAAAGCATTTGTAATAACAGGCAAATGGATTCACATTTATTACATATTGATTACCTTTTTTTTTTTTTTTTTTGGTTGTCTTTACAAATTCTTGCAAACAAGAGACAAAATGCATCGAACCCTAGAAAATGATTCGAAGTCTCTGAAAGTCTGTTGGGGCCAAAAACACAACTGAAACCAAACGAGCTCTTTTTCCGTCTTCGCTTGGTTCATCTTGGCCATGAAAAACGGGAGAGGGTCGGGTAAGGGACGGAGGCCATGCTCATTCCAGCAGAGAAATGATGTAGCAAAACCTGTTGACAAATAAATATTTTAATGAAGTAAGCACATATTTTAATGACTAGAATCTGTTTAGAGTACTATATAAGATGTGTGTTATCCAGCAGAGCTGAATGAAAAGGGTTGTGCTGTGAGTGAGTATGTGGGCCTGTTGTTTGGAGAGTATTACCTTTGTTACTGTCCACTATACTCTGGTTACAACAAAGTGTGCAATACAGAGTAAATGGCTTCTTTGCTATTAAAAGGACACTGTCTTGCATCTTTCCCCTTGTGCTTCTTACAGTTATCGTCTGTACATAAGAATTAAACCAGATTAAATATCTTTTACAATATTGTAAACCTGTTTATACAGTTTCAAGGTTGTCGACATGTATACTGCAGATGCGCAATGTTCAATAAAGTGCACAAAATACTTTCTCAAGCACTTTATCATGACTTTGTTTTCTTTTCCACTTACAAGGCCGTGTATATGTAGTCAGCTTTTCCCTTGATTCAAAATGGGGGGTTTTTTTGTACACGCTATTCACCTGCTGGGATGTTTTTTTTACGTCATGATTGTACTCTGCTTTCTCTGATTACGCACCAGTTTCTTACATTTGTTTGGAGCATTACTGAATGGATGTTACAAAATGCAAAAAAAAAAAAAGTTTTGGGGGTTAGAATAGTTTTAGAGCCACCGCTCCAGATTTAATGTCTAATGAAGAAAAAAATTCATGATGGGAGATGACAGTAAACATGTAATTAAGTAATTATGTTTACTTG